TTGCAAGATAGTAAGCTATGAAAAAAGTAATAAATATTGAAAAGTGGGAGACATTATAAATAATGTGGTTTTTATATCTAGAAAAATCCAAAAGCTTCATAGATTAAAATATAAAAATTTTAGCCATCTTTTTATTGAAGGAAGGGATGGGGTTAGAAATAAGTTTGAAGAAAATTACTTAAACATTATATGGATGGAAAAACAGACAAGAATATTTTTAAATTCTGAGAATAATATCTAGCTCTAATGGATATCACATGTAATACAAAGCACCTGTAAGTAAAACAGTGGCTTAGGAGCATACGTTACTGGAACAGAATAGACATTATAGATATAGTGCTTAATACATATAAATATGTGACAGAGGTCACATCAGCACTACAAAATAGGAGTGAAGGAAGAGTTAAGACCTATGGCTAATAGGCAGTTCCAGCACCATTTATTTATTTTGGGAGGCCATTATTTATATGACTGATTTTACCAGGAAATACTTCAGCGTATAATTTGAACTTCCTAACGAACTCCTTCTGCTGAATTCAGTATCCATGACTTAGGGGGCCGTAACCCACAACCCCTCGTAATCTCTGTCAGCACCTCCCATAATTTTTATCACCACCCAAAATCAGCCCAAATAAACACAGCTAAAGAAAAAACAGTGTACTTGCTAAGTGATTCCTATGTAAAAGCATCTTCAAGACAAGTTCTTTAGCTTCTCTTTGAAACCAATTGCTACTTATTCAGCAGTTTTGAAGTTACCACGGTTTGTGTTTTTTCTTCCAGTACAGAAGTTTTTAGAGTTATAGATATTAGTAAGTTAGGAAAGAAACAATTAAAACACAACTGTAAATCAGCCTGTTATTTACATATTCTTGAAAAAACACACTAAAAGCTTGATATTATACACTTAGCCTCTAGTATAGATGTTAAATATTTCTTCTTGTTCCACTCTATCCTATCTTTGTATTATTTATTGATGTATTTATTACCTGCCTATTTAAAAAAAAAAAGTAGAGGTAGAGCATGCAGAAGTGCTCATAAAATAGGGACCATTTCCCCATTGTATTTGGAATGAACCTTAATTTACATATCTGCAAAATGGGAATAGTAATAGCACTCTTATGTTGCAAGATTGTGAATGTTAAATGTGACCATATGTGTAAAACGTTTAGCATAGTACCTCATATATAAAAAACACTTAATAAATATTAACCATTATTATTACATGTATAAAAAACTCATGAGTATTCAGCACCATGCCTGTAAAAGAATGGGAAAGATAATGTGTGCCTGCAACTTGTGTATGAAATATCTTGTATTAATTTAGTAAATTTGTTAATTTACTAAATGTAAATATCTTTTTCCCAGAGAAACACGGCGACTTTTGGAGAGAGTGGTGTATCAGCCTGGGTATCCCAGGTCTATTGTGTCAACTGCACGTTGGTACCTGCTGAGACACTTACATGCCAAAAATGACGATGAGCTCATTGGTGTAAGAGTTGATTTTATTAAAAATATTTCATCTTGGACCTTTGTTAGAGGAGGGGTGAGAGTTACTGTGCTATGCCTCTCAGGATGTCTCATAGCATCCCTCACCACTCTAACCACTGATGCCAGTAACACTGCCCTCCTCCCTTCACCCAGCTTGTAGCAACTGAAAATGCCTTCTAGACATTGCCACATCATACGTGAGGTGTGATCACCCCTGGTTGAGAACCACTGATTTAACCTGTGGGAAATACATGCCCCTAGTGTACTCTGTAGCATAAGAAAAGATAGACGAAGGTGCCAAGTCCTGGTTGTAATATTCCTTATGACCATTGTAGTGGAGGCAAATAGGTAGATAGGCTAGGTTTAGAAGTAGTAGAATTTAATGGAATGTGCATGTTATCTTTGGAAAAATTATTTTACTTCTTATTGTCTTTTCTGTAAAATGCACATGACAATTTTTACTCTATTTCTCATGGCATGGCTCTGGTATCTAAATATGTAAACATAAATAGTTGACCCTTGACCAACATGGGTTTGAACTGTGTGAGTCCACTTATATGTAGATTCTTTCAATAGTAAATACTCTAGTACTATAAGATCTGTGGTTGGTTGAATCTGTAGATGCAGAACCTTGGATATGGAGGGCTGACTATGAGGAATACATGGATTTTCTCCACTGTGCAGAGGGTCTGTGCCCCTAACCCCACAACGTTCAGTGGTCAACTGTGTGTGTGTGTGTGTGTATTATATATATACTATATACACACACATATACATTTTTTAAAAGGAAGAGTATGTAAAACACTTTTTGGGTTAAAATTCTTATAACTTCAGCCAATAATTTTGGGGGGGGGCAGGGGGAGTAGGTTTCTTTATTTCTTTATGTATTTAATGGAGGTGCTGGGGATCGAACCCAGGACCTCATGCATGCTAAGCACACATTCTACCACTGAGCTATATCCTCCTCCCAGCCAGCAATTTTAAAATCACAATGAAAATTAATGAGAAGTTTTTTTTAATACCTACAGCATTTGAAATACTGTTTGGTGTAGTGAAACATACAATATTAAATAAATACTGATGAAAACAATGCTTGGAGAAAGGCATTTCAATGTTGGGAGACAGTTCCCCAGGGTCTCTTGCATTTCTAAACATCCTGTGAGCAGAGGACCTGACTGCCCATTGTTCTGGACTGTTTTTTCAAGGATGTTTGTATAGTGAGAGCCTTGGGAGCCTGAGATAAGTGTCTCCCTCCAAAAGCAGAGAGTGGTCATGAGTCAAGTCTCCTGGGCTCAGGGTTCCTCTCTTGTCAGGCAGCCCACTGTGTATGTGGGGAACTGTATGCATCCATCCATGTCACCTCTTTGAGACTAGAGCGCCAGGGGAACACACGCAAATATGTTAATGTTCATGGTGTTCGCTATACCATGAGTGATAAAGACTTTTTGTTAATTCTCTGACCCAGGAGGCCTGTGCTTTTTGGCAGTATCCATGCAACTGTGACAGCTAACTTATTAGCTGGCAAAGAGAGCAAAATCTTGACCCTTCACAATGTTTGAAAATGAACAATCAAAAAACATTTTAGTAATCAAATGATCATCTGAAATTAATCTAGCTTGTGGAATTGGTGAAAATCATGGAAGAGTTCTTGATAGAGCTTAAAACCTTGAGCCTCGAGCCTCAGCTGTGGTTTTAAAGGAAAGCAATGTCATTTGGACAGTTCTATGCATAAAATGGTCTTCGGGGTGAGGGTTTAGAGGTGACAGTATTGTAAGTAAAGACTCTAAACAAAACTGTTAATTTTATGCAGTGCTGACAGTGGTAATAGTCAAAACGTTGACATCTATACTAATTGAGCATTTGAACAAATTGTGTTTATGTCTGATGTTAGCTTTGGTTGAACAGTTTATTTTAGGAAAAATGACTGAAATATTGCACATAGTCACTTTTCTTTTGTAGTTTGATATTGCCTGCTGCCCTTTAGCATACTTGGCTTCTATGAGTCAAATGTAGATATTGTTAATAAATAAACACTAATGTTCCTGTGTGTGATTTTCCACAGGTGCTGATAAACAATGCCACAACTCACGGAGATACAAGAGCATTGGAATTGAATCAGAAATTGTCCTCACAATAACAATGCATTATTTTAGAAGTAAGCAAGCAAAGAAAAAGCTATTAGAAAGAAGGAAACAATGAATCAAGACTTTTCCCTAAAGCAACAGTTTAAAAAACTATAGTTATAATCATCTATGCCTTTTTTAAATCTAGAGATATTTAAGTTCTTAAGCTAGGGATGTAATTTGCTGTAAACTCTTAATATAACTTTAATCTGGAAAACATATTTGATTTTGAAAAGTCCATAATTAAAGGAAGAACCATGATTCCCTTAGTTGCTTAGTTTTTTGTAAACCATTATTTCCTCCATCTTGCCTGGTGCACAATAGGATTTTTTTAAGTAACCCCTTACAATAAGGCCTTAATGGTCATTTTCTAAATAATATGCAAAAGCATATTAGCACAAAGCAGCATTTCATTTGTTAAAACAACAAATTCAAAGATTTAATTCCTTCTATGAATGCTAGAGTTCAGGAGACCAACTCATCTAAAATCCAGATAATCTTATAACAAATAATGGTTCATCTCAGATTCTGTTGAAGCATAATATAAATGTTGGTGAGTCTTAGACTGTTAATGGATATGTTTATGTAATTCAAAACACTCAGGTGTATGGCTATATTTAAAAAATTAATGGAAAATTTTGGAAAAATGCTGACAGTATTTAATCATGTAGTTCCTTCAACTATGATAAGATGAACTTTCTTAACTAAAAAAATACAATGTCTTGTTTTCTTTATAGTATCAATCAGATATAATTTCAAATTTTAAAACTTGAAAGCACATTTACGTGTTTTATTTTTTCAAAAAACCCTTTATATATTTGAAGAAGCTGTACATTGCCTGCTTTGGATTTGTGGTCTTAAAAAATGTTTTCAGACATTTACATATTTATTGTATGAAAGTAGGTAATCATATAATTTATGCACATAGTTTCTCTAAACCATCAGCTTCACAATATTACTTTGTGAGGTAATATAACTTGATAATATTCTGTAAATTTTACTTCAGAAGTTAACCTATTGAACTAACTAATAATTAGATGAATCCCCAAATTTCACTGAATATTATCATCATTGAGACCTATGCAGTCAGAATCTTTTAAGAGTAGGCGCTATGAGTGCATGTTAAAGGCATGCGAGAGAGTCTAATGTTGGGCCATCAGGTTTGTGAACTGCTGTCCATTGATGATCCTGTCCTCACAACTGTCAAACAGATTCAGTGCTTTTAACAGCCTGGTCCATACACTGAGCAGAGCTGCACTGAAAAGGCTGCCTGTGCAGCCCTGGTGCGCACGCCCTCCTGCTTCCTCAGGAAGGCACATGGGCCTTTACCTGCAGAATGAGCTGCAGCCATCTACTTGCATGTTTACGAGTCAGTTCTTGTTCTCCATCTGCTTTCTGGGCGTCACTTGCTTCACAAGGTCACTCACCGACACTATGGACTTGGCTAGCCTTTGCTCCAGGCCTGTATCCAAGGAGTAAGCTTTTGATTCCATTGCCTAGTTCTGGCCTTCAGGAACCACAGACCCAGGTTTTCTAGAAAGGAAAACTGGAAAATACTTTTGTTATAGTATCTCAGGTAATTCTTTTTTTGCATGGATGTAGACACATCCTCTCTTTTGCTTGTTGTCTTCGCTTCAAATTACTGCCCAGTTACTGTGAGCCTCGAACCATTCCCAACTATACAATTTATATAGAACTGACTTTGTGCCAGACCTATGGTAAGTGTTTAAACATTGTCATTTAATCTCAGTAAAGGAGAATGGTGCTAAACAGCATGCTTAAAGCAAAGAAAATTCGAAGTCAGTCAGTGTTATCAGATTCTAGGAACTTGAAAAGTGACTGAAATTTCTCTTCAGAGTTTATATTTAAGTTTAATTAGATTAAAAGTTATTTCCTGAAATACCAATATTTAGCATCCATATTAACTATTTCACTTTATTCATTATTTCTTTGAGAATCATAGTATATTTTCTACTAATTTTTATTTATTTGCTTATTGATTAATTAGATGTTTATAGGCTAGCTTGGCATCTGATAATTTCTTATGGGAGAAGTGCATTTCAGCTTATGAGTAAACTTTTGAAACACAATCTGTTTGGGATCACTTGTCATATTTCTTGAAATGTCCCTTGCATTAATTTCTTGTCAGGACTAAAAACACTGTAGTTTAAAATGCTTTACTCTTCTTCCACTTTATAAAATGAGTTGACAACTTCCTTTAATTTGGGAATTATACAGAGCAGGATTAGACAGCAATACTCAGTTTGTACATTAAGGCAATTAAAAGGTGTGGTTATTTAAAGCAATATGAAACATAATAGTTAGGTAAATATTTTATGCTAAGTAACATATAAATGCGAAAGATATGTATTTGGTTACTCCATAAAGAAATTTGGGGAGATTTTAAAGAACACAAAAATGAAACATATTTTATGTATGAGTCAGTGTGGCTTGCAGATTTTACTTTTTGTGCATTAAAAAATGTGAAAACTTTGTTTTGACAAAGTTGACCCTTGTCTCTATTCAGGTCTTCCTTTTTCCCACTTTAGTTTTAATGGATAGAAAACTTCTTGGGCTTCCATGCTGCTTGTTATAAGGTATAGCACTCAGCTGCTGGTTACAAACTTGTAGGAGAGGAACTTTAGAAAGATACATTTGTGTATCACATACAAGTACAGTAATCTTTCCGTGTGTGTGTGTGTGTGTGTGTGTGTGTGTGAAAGTAAAAGGTCATCATTTTTGGGTTAGAAAATATAGTCACTTAAGATCTATTGCACCTGAAGACCACTCGCAATGTCTAGCTATCCCTGTGCTGTATAATAATTCCTTTCTTCGGCTGATTAGCAACTTTTTGCATAGCAGTATTACTTTAAATTCTAGTGTAAGACAGATGCCCTATACAACTATTTTTTGTATAAATGCTAAATTATCTTTAGACCTCAAAATATTTTGAAATAAGAAATTTAAGAGTAGTATTTCTTTAACAGTATTATGAAATGTTTGCAACATTTTTTCTTGTATTTTGAACTTGAAATACCTATTTATTTTAGTGAAGGGAAATGATGCAAGAAGAGAGATCATTAAAATTGGAGTATCTGTTGAAAAAGGCAGTGGGTTCCATATTATATCACTGAAATAATTAGCATGTCGTGATCTCTCCTGAGTTTGAATCATTACAAAAGTTCATTTGGGCTTAATGCTTCACCACATATGTTCCCTGTATATAATACCTATTATAAAAACATATTTAAGTTATATTAATTTTTCTGGAGAGATGATAGGTAATGAAAAAATGCTTATCTTGTTATTTTTGCTTGTGGTAGGCAGAAAAATGACCTCCTAAAGGATCCAGGTCCTAATCCCTGGAATTTGTGAGTATGAGGCAAAAGAGACTATGCAGATATGATTGATTAGTGGTTTGGACCTTGAGATGGAGAGATTAGCCTGGATCGTCCAGGTGAAGCCAGTTTAATCAGAAGAATCCTTACAAGGGGAGAGCCTGTCAGAGAGAGAAAAGTGACAAAGGAAGAAGGTCAGAGAGATTTGACATTGTTGGCTTTGAAGATGGAAAAAGAGGGCTACCAGACATGTTAATAAGGGTGGCCTCTAGAAACTGGAAAAAGCAGACTTTGTCCTATGGAGTTCCCAGAAAGGGATGCAGCCTGCTAATACTTCAGTTGTAGCCTGGTGAGACCCATGTTGGACTTCTGACTTACAGAACTGTAAGATAATAATTTCATACTGTTTTTAACCCACTAAGTTCGTGGTAATTGTTATGACAGCAGTAGAAAATTAGGACACTGCTCATTGTGAAAACCATTAAAATGAAAACACATCCGTTTGAATTTGAATTTTACCAGATCACTACAACTGGGGATCGTCATCTAAATTGTTGCCCAAAAAGAGGGTCATCAGATGAAGATGATGAGTTATTAAAAATGGTTATTGTGAAAATATAAATTTCAAAAGTATTTAAGTTTAAGGAATATGAGGCTGTTTGTTTCTGTAATAGTATCCGTCTGCTCTGATTTGACATTCTACTCACAGCACAGCATCACCAACATAGTTAAGTACTTCACTCCAATTCTCTTTAAAAGGAACTGCATTAAATTATACTCACAAAACCTAAGTAGCATATTTCAAACTGGGTTTCAATATTGAATGAGGATGTGACTGAATAAGTCTTATCTCTTGGCCTTTTATGTGAATTTGTAAAATCAGGACCTTGAGCTAGATTTCAAATGGCAGCATTCTGTTGTTCTGAGGTCACCAAGGTTTTCTAAGTCCAAAGAGAGCTAAAGCGAAATACTGAAATAAACTGCTTGGTGCAGTACCTGCGAAGCAGCAGTTTCCTGGTTTCCAGTGAACAGCCTGCTGCCACAACCCCCCACCCCCGCTTACAAACCTGCTTAGGGTAGAACCCCTTTTAAAAGAGACTTCACTGTACAAAGGTGGGTAATCAGTACCAGGTACTAAGACCCTGAGAAGGAAAGTAGAACTACACTTTGAGAATATTTCAATGAAAGCCAGCTTCTGTGAATGGTTGAATGGAGTTATATGTGCCTGCTACGTGCCAAACAGGTTATATATACTTCATTCAGAGAGACCACTCACATTAAGTAGAATGTGCATGTTGTTTGATTATCTGACTTCCAGGTGACTTAAATAACTTGAATTTCTAAGACTGCCTTTTTAATGTCATTTCCTCCCCTTTGATCATGCAAAATATGGTCATTGCTTAATCTCCAAGGAGAAAAAAAGCTGCATAGTTCAGAATCAGGTGATCAGGAGTTATTTTGGAAAACCACTGTATTCTGTTTTTAAAAGTTCTAGTCTCAATTGTTCTGTCCAATTTTAGTAGATCAAGAAACGGAAAATAGTGTACAAACAGTTTTTATGTGAAGACTATTTGCTGGCTTCGGGAGTTTGGAAATTAGCCTGGTGAGAAGTCAGGTGGTGTGCAAGAAAGACTACTGCAGGGTCTGTCTTGGCAGACAGAGTTACGTGGGTTTTTTTGCCTTTGTGCATTCCTGGTAGTGTTAATTTCTTTTATGTTTGAGACACAAGTGTCTCTGGGCACAACAGAAAAGCCAGATGGAACAGAAGTTTCTTTGTGTTGGAAAGAAGGAGATTGGAGAGAAAAGGCACTGCTGAGAAGGCAAATTATATTGTCAAAAGCAGCTTCGAGAGGATAGAAATAAATGTATCTCAAAATTGCCTGAGGCCAGCCCTGCAGTTTGTCAGATCAAGTGTCATGTATATGGTGGCATGGCTTTTGTGTCAAAGAACTAGTTTCAGAATAAATTATTTATTAGCTCACTAGACCCAGATTTAGGCAGCAGTGAATACCTGTGAACATCGGGAAATATATAGGCAGCATTAAGCTTTTGTACACATCAAGTAGCATCTAAGAAAGCCCAAGTAAGATCTAACATTGCAGAGGACCTGGTGCTACCACTGGCTTCAGCAGAGGAGTTTTTTGTGCTTGTGAGGTAGTGGTCACTACCTCCCAGGGCCTTGGCATCCAGGGACTTACAGCAGGGATAGAGTGAATGCCTGCTGTGTGCCAGGCTCTTTACATTGTCACCTGATTTCATTCCCACATAATTTTTTATGGTAGGTATTACCCTCATTTTACAGTGAGAGAGAGAGAGTATAAGCAAGCTGAGAGATTCACTCTTTTAAAATTGTCTATATTCTTAGGCAGACAGAATCTGGCCCCCAAGGTAATTTCCAATATTATTGTCAAATTTTGTTAATAATTGCTGCCACCTCAAAGAAATGTGAATGAGTTGAGGTGCGTGTCTTTGGGACTGACTCAGTTAGCCTTCCAAGGTGTATTCTGATGATACCATGTACCTGGTGCCACTATCTGAATTCTAGGAAGAACCTTAGGAGGAAGGGAATCTTTTCCAAAGGACTAACTTTGCAGATTTGTTACTGTTGCCTTCAGCTTTATTTGCTAATTCAAACCTATGCAATGATAAGGAATACTCCACCCTTGTTAGGTTTTGAACTCGATAGAAACTGAGGCCAATAGTGAGCTAATTGTTTCAGTTAATTCTTGATAATATCACAAATGCCAGCCCTTGGTTTTTGCTTTGGCTTTTCTAACCTCTCTTCCATCGACTGGACTTTCTTTTGGCCCTCCCATTTCTTTAGGTACTTAGCGCTTCCTGGTTTTGAAAGACCTTGCTCTCCTTAGTTATCAACTAATCCCTGCAGAGGAGGTATCCATAAGGTTCATGAGTGTGTGTTCTTTGTGAAGATTTTATGCTGTAAATACTTAAAAGCCTTTAAGTGCTAAACAGTGGAATTTAGGTATAAAGACAAGGTAGATTCCTTGGTTTAGGAGTTGTTTTGGGTTGCAGGAGTGGGTTTATCCAGCATCATTTCCATGCTTCCATGTAGGCCCTGTGCACTTGAAGTCCATCCCTGCATATTTCCCCTGTGAAGGCAGTGCATTACTTTTTTGGAGAAGCATCTGGTAGTTGGATACTAATGACTTTGACCCTGTAGTAGTGGCTATTGGATTTGCTTCTGTTGACCAGGACTTATGGAGGAAATATGCTTCTCTAGGCATTGGCCCCAGCACCTTGCCCACCTCCAGTCAATGACCATGTTTCTATAGCTGTTAGACTCCCTCCCCAGAGACAATACGACATGGTTTTAAAGTAGAGGAATACTTCCTCAATTATAATTTTGTTCCAAGAGTAATCTATACTTTGCACTTCCTTCTGATTTGATCCATGTCTAAATTTACTGCAAGTCAGTATATATAGTACAAGGACCTTTTTGAATTCACATGTTCTTAGAACACTGATCTGAATTAGAGTTGGATAGAAGAGTACCATGTGGGGTGGAGGGGGGGGGAGAGTACCATGGAACTTGTTTTTTTACATAAAGATCAAAATCTCTGTTTATTATTATTAATCAGTACCATTTATCAAGTGCAATACCTACGATGTACCAGACACTGCATTAGATGGTCTACATATATTTTGAGAAACAATACAGCAGAATGTTTAAGAGCAAATTCTCTAGACTGATGAGTTCAAATCCTAGCTCCACTTCATGCTAGCTGTGTAACCTTATGTAAATTACCTAAGTCTGTGCCTCAGTAATCGGTGTCTGTTTGGAGTATTAAATGAGTAATTCAGGTAGAGTGCTTAGAGCAGTCTCTGATATCTGGTAATAGTTCAATAAATGTTTTTCTAATTCTTCTAATAACGTACAAGGTAGATATTTTTATTCCCATTTTAAGATGAGTGAATTACGACTCCAAAGTTAGAAAACACATCCGAAGTCACACAGATAATAATTGGTGGCACTGGTTCTAACTCAGGTCTGTCAGACCTCAAGGCTTCTCAGCATAGAAGTTTGGATTATTTTTCTGTGTTCTCCGTTTGTCTTTGAGGGTTATAAAAGAGGTCCTGGTTTATGAACTGCTGAGCACATCAATCATTTTTCACTCACATCACATGTGCAAATATCTTCTGAAAATGAAGTGGGAAAACTTTACCAAGGAACATGGGCTTATGGAAGTTTGGTCTGTGGAGCTGGAAAATTTCATGACTGTATATTAAAGGGAAGATCTGAAGCAGCAAACCTTTATCACAAATGTATGTGACTTGAATTTCCTGAAGAGGGAAATGCCAAGCTGGCTAGGGGCCAAAACAGCCTCATATTTTTCCTGGCAATAATCCTGCCTCTCTCTGGGAGGGCTCACCACTTCTCTGAGAAGATGCAGCACATTTTATTTCACAGTATGAAGGGCAATCTGAAAGCATTTCTAACCTTCCTCCTTGAGTTATGTAATACACCCAAATTTTGAGTTTACATTGTAGGACAGAGTCTTCTTCAACAGGCAGAGATTTGTTGAACTCTAGCTTGATATGTTGACACCATCTGCTGGCAGGAACTCCCAGGGAAGACAAACTCTCCAACTATGATCCCTCCTCTCCTGCTTCACTGCTGTCTCTGTGTACTCACCTAGGGACTTCGAGGCTCCTCTGCTGCCTGTTCCTTCAGTGTCAGGTGTCCTCTAGTTCTTTTCTGGTCTCTGTTTCTCACTGTAATCATCATGTCTCCCACACCACCCCTCCCAAGCCTAGGCAATCTCTTCCTTCCTCACTCATAACTCCAGTAACCATTTCTGTGCTAAATCCTCAGTTCAAATCTGTCTCTCACACTCCAGGTCCTTATCCCTCACTAACCACTGGATCCCTCCACTTGGACATCCCCTCAGTATCTCCAAATAAATTAGTTTAAAACTGAGCTCATCATTCTCCCTCTCCTGCATTATCTCCCTCCTTTCCCACCCAAGTTTGTTTCTCCCACTGTGTCTGTAACCTCTTGTCCATACTACAGCCAGAGGGGTTTCTCTAAAACACAAAACTGATAATGTCACTCTCCTATTTGAAATCCTTTAAAGGCTATTCTGGCCCTGAGACAGGGCCCAAGTCCCTCAACATGAGTTATAAGGCCCTTGTGACCAGACACCCCACTCCCCTAACTTCTCCAGTTTCCTCTTTCCTGCTCCCCTCCTCCAGTCCTTCTCCCCTACCTCCCACCACACACACTCTAGGTTCTGACCATTTTGAACCTCTTCGGTTCCGGCATGGGTCCCATTCTTTTGGCCTCCAGGCCTTTGGTTAGGCTGCACCACCTGCCTGAGCCCCCACCTCTTACCAATCAGGCCCCTTTCCCTTGGCTAACTTCTGTTTATGCTTTAGAGATCTCAGTTTAGATATTCCTTCTTCTTGAAGACCCCTGCGCCTGATTCCCCATGTTTTTGCTAAATGCCTCTCCCAGGTGCTCCCATTAGACCCTTTACTTGCTCAGGTATTTGCAAATTTGATTGTTGGCCTTTTCCACTGGACTGTAAGTTCCCTGAGGGCAGGGTCCGTGTTTAATATTGTATCCCCAGTGCCCAGCACATGAATGAACTGTCGGCAGCCTTAAGTGAGTAGGCCGTGGGACCCAGGTCATAGGTCACAATAACTTGCCTGTGTCTGAGGTAAGAATTAAATGTACGCATGCGCTGGTAGCATTATGTAAACATTAATAATACGCATGCGCGAATCGCATGCGTCATCATTATGAACAATACGCATGTGCGGGCAGAATAAACAAAGGACGAGCGTTCCACGCGGGCGGCGCGCCATCTTGTTGAACTGAAAGAAAGCCTCGCCACTGCCTCTTGCCACAGGAGCCACCCGCTTGAACTAGAATAAAGTTCTGTTTCACTCCGTGTCGGCTCCTTGCGCATTATGTCGGCTCCTCACGCATTTTTTCCAGTTGGGCAGCTCACCTCATCGAATCCCTCTCCAGCCTCCCTCGGCTGACAGAACAAAGGCTGTGAAAATATGAATAACTTACAAAAGTTTGGAGACCCTACTTATAAGGTAAAAACATGAATATGTATGTGTGTTTGCATATGTATTACAGATCAAGTTTTTCCTTCTTGGTGTTTTTGAGTGCTACTTGCTGATACTGTCGGTGACACCATAAAAGTGAGAAGATGTTTGGTAAGTTTCTGCAGAAAAAGAGAGGGCTCATGGTGTCCAGAGCACTCTGGGGATGCTATTTCTTTGACCTTGAGCCTTACTGCTGTCCGGCTATCAGGTGGTGAGTGTATCCACCTTACAGTGAGGCTCAGAAGGCAGTTATGTGGGGGATTTGTCCTTCATCTTCAGTAGGGAAAAAGAATATTTTGAACATTACCATTTAGTCCTCAGTGTAAATAATTTCGTATGAGGGCAGGTGGGCAGGTTTGGCTAAGGAAGGCAAAGGCAAGAAATGTTGGGTGTCAGTGAAACCCTAGGGCTAGCCACGCCTGCTTAGATGGTGTTTGTGCCTAAAGTGAGGACTCTCTGAGACATTTTAACATGTGCCTCAAGTCTGCAAGTGAATCTGGAATGCAGACTCTGTGATGCTCACACCTTCTCCTGTATCTGGGGGGAGAGAAGTCTGACATTTCCCAAAGAATTAAGTGTTGGTGTGTGATAAAGAATAAAGTGCCTTGTATACTGAACTTCTCAAGGGGGACTGTTCATTTCTGTCATCCTTTTTGATCTGTTGCAAAATAAAGGCAAAAGGAGGGAAGCTCAGTGCTCCACTGGTCCCCCAAGCAGAGGTGGATTTACTATGAAATGATGGCTCTTGAACTCCAGGGCCTCTCATTTACATGAGCTCTACCAATTGAACTAGTTGCTCATGCTTATAAGTGGTTTCATATAAAACCAGATTTCTGGTTTCTTATGAAAAATAAAATTTTTGGCAATAATGGATTATATGTATGTTAATAATGAACTGGGGCTGCCTAGTGGCTATTCTTTTTAGACAGTTAAGTGGTCTCCAATTTTCCACAGTTTCTACCATTCTTTAATGTACTATACCAGGCCTACTTCACTCATTTATGTACCATATGTAGATCTGTGGGCAAATAAAAATATGAAAAGGCATATATGGAAAGAAATTCCTTAAGTTTTTCATTAGTAAATTAGTGAAGACATCATAAAGCTTCTTTGCTTTATTGGGTTTTCTGGTACATTTATCTCCTTAAAAAGGTGGTAAGAAATAGAAGCAGTAAACATCCCAGAGATATTAACTTTCTTTTCCCCGTCTTTCCCAACAAACCACCCCACTGGCTGGTGAAAAAGGAGATGAATGGGAAGTTTACACTTCCTGGAGTTCCACTATCTTACGCTGTAATTTCTTTAGGTCTTTCTGTACTTTATATTTCTCTAAATCCATCTTTGTTTTCTGTATTCGCTGGAGGGAGCTGAGAGAGTCATGAATCGATTCAAATCCTGTAAGAGGATATGAGAATAGGTGTACTGCAACCGAACAATGCATTGGAACTTTTTAATTTTTTAACAAAAGTTGCTAATCAGCAGTCTGGCCATAGCTGATCATTATTTAATTCAAAGCACATTAAATTCTGTTAAGACAAGTCTAAAAATATAAGATAATCCATTTCTTGTATGTCATGAAGATGCATTAGCAACAGTGTTTTAGCTTGCATCTGGCTTTATCGTGAAAATTCAGTTCCTCTCCTCCACCCCAAAATATTGCATAATGAAATAATTCTGTATTTCCAGAGAGAAATTTAAAATACCTTATTTCTGTTTACTTTGACAAAAACTTTGGATGGTCTTGTATTCTTGTTACGAAATTGAAAGCAAGGGCCACAGATGAGATTTTAAACCTCTGAACGTCACCTGTCTGAGGGACCCAAGGAATGGCCACGGACAGTGCCCGACCCCTACCTCTGCCCTCAGCTATTTACATCTTTCTTACGCAAGTCTAGCAAACTCATAACCACAGCCTACCAGACCTCAAGCTTCTTAGGGTACAGCCCATTTCTTATTCACTGGAGACTTTCACATAATCATTTCTCTACCCATTTTTATTAAAGGCATAAAAGAGCAAACCATTAGTTTGGAGTCCCCATTTGCTATACTCCCACTTCGTAAAATGCAGAAACATGTAGACTGCAAATTTCTCTTCATTTCATTCTGGGGTGGTACTAATGGAATGACTAAATTAAACCTCTGGTAGCTAAGTAGCAAGCAGGGCCCTAAAAGAAGGGCCAGTTAATTTGGGGATATCCTTCCTGGCCAGAAAATTCATTCTTTTGATTTGGTGGTGGGAGTTGGAGGGCAGGAGTGGTGAGGGTCAGGTATTCTATGCCAGGAACATCTGGCAGAATGAGACCATAATGTCTTCCCAGAACATCTCCAAAGGCATCTCCATAATGGACCAAAATTTGTTAGAATTTACATGAATTTTTCTGGCATCTAGAGGAAAGGAAATGAGTTGGGGCTTTCTCTCATAAAGGAACCTTTTGATTCCTGGTAATTTCCTCAGAATTGTGACTCGAGGCAGATGGCTGCTCCACAACCCGTGTCCCATGTCCTTCCCTCTGACAAATTAGATGAGCCTTTCAAATCAATCCTCTTTGAAGTTAGCTCAGCTTGACTCTGCCACCACTAGCCTCCTTAAGAAGAAAAGCAGTCATTATACTGGACTCCATTAACTCATCTCTCTTTCTCACTTCTAAACGTCAGGTCTCCAGTCTGACATCTGTCTAGGCTCATTACTTGCAGTCAATGCGGGGCATTTGACTTAGGCTTCTATGATTCTGTGATCTTAGAGTTTAAGCTCACAGCAATGGCAAGCTTGTGACATTGCCAAGTGTGAATGAAGAAAGTCTATTTTTACGTATTTATCTACCTACCAGTGACATGCTGATATTCTATGGGATATTTAAGAAATTCAGATTAAATACAAAAGGATGTCACTGATAACGAGACTGATTCCTGGCCATGAGCTCAAAGTAGAAAACCCTGAGGGACTGGGTAGAAAAGGATGACTGTTCTTGACTTAAGCAAAGGTACCTGCTCACCTGATTGATATTCATTCTGCATTTTCTCTAATTCACCCCAGATGAGCTTTTCCAGTTGGTTCATCTTTTTGAATAGTTTATTTTCTATATGCTTTACTTTGTTTAATTCTGCTTCCTGTTTTCGTGTGTTAATGAAATTCTCTAACTTGCTTGAAAGCTGCAGTAATTTTTCTTCCATTTTATTTTCAGACGTAGCCTATAAAAGATATCATGGGGTCAAACTGCTGAAAAGAAAACCTGTGTTGATTTGTCTTTCAGTTTAGATGATTTTTTTTTTAACAAATCTACTTTTCCATGTTGAACACGAAAATTCAAACCAAGTTCCCTTGTATCTAAAAACTGTGTTCACAAGTGGAAGAGTTAATTCCTTTGTTTGGCCTTGTTCATTTGTAGTTTCTGGAGCTCTACCTGGTACAAGAGAAAAGAAAAGAAAGGCTGTGGTCTTGCTAAAATACCTTCAGGATTTGGGATTTTAGTCTAGTGTTTAGAGACGTGTAGCCAAGGCAGGCATTTTTAGATACTGCTTAACCTGAGCTCCCTGGATGTGCTCCTGGTGTTAGATGTGTTATTCCCCCGAACCTCCTGTCTCTCCCTGGGCAGGCTTCAGCTAGAATGGTGGTTCTCCATCCATGCTGTGTAACAGAAGTCACTGGGGTCATCCCACTCTGCCCCTCCCCACATTCTGATTCAGTTGGTCTCTGATGGAGCTCAGGAATTGTTGGCATTTAAAAGCTCTCCAGGTGATTCTAAGGTAATGCACCACAGGAGGCAGGAGACAGAGGCAGCCTGAGGCTAATTAGCTCCTCCTCCCTCCCCTACGGGGAATTAGGAGCAGAGGTGAGACTGATTTTAGCCCCTTTGCTTCTCCTCTCTTTGGTCCTGCCTGTCTCAGGAATGGTGTATTCCAGTCTCTCCTCCTTGCAGTGGGAGGTTTTTGTCCACAAGTGACCCTGTGGTCACCCAGTGCTGCCTAGAACTGGTGGGGGAGTCTGCCTAAATCCTGGAGAAGGACTAGCAGGCCCACTTGGCTGCAGACCTGACCGCATCTACTTTAACGGCCTTATCAGTGATGCAGCTCTAAGATTTGTCTTCCTCTCTGGGGCTCCTACCTCTATCCGTTTTTAACAAACTCAGGTGGAGTCACGGGAGCGTTATTTACTGGGCTGCCTAGAGCCCCTTTACTGACATTTCAGAAACATCTTATCTGAATCATCTGCTAGGCTGGCAGCCACTGGTGCCACTGATGGCCCTGTGCTGCTCTCCCCTGGGGCTCAGCAGCGAGGCCGCTGTGCTGGGCGCAGTGGGAGCCTGTGACAGATTTCTCACCTCCAAACTTGGGGGTGTCTCTACAAGGTCTGACCTGGCAAAGGAGTTTTGAAAACCTAGATCTCCCGGTGGATCTCTGGAAAGGTAAAGTGACTTGTCTAAGGCGGTCAGTTTTCAGGCTTTATTGTTATCTAAGCATCATCCAGGGACCTTGTTCAGGAGGACAGATTCCCAAGGGGAGGCTCTGGAGGGTCAGATGCTCTGGGTTGAGACCAGGAATCTGTACTTTAAAAAATTCCCTTTAGGTTATTCTGGTACAGGTAGAGCTCTGAGATACGGAGTTCACAGAGCTGGGGAGAAGCAAACAGGACCAGAAGGCAGGTCTCTGAAATCCTATTCCAGTGCAAAAAAAATAGGTTACTGATGCAGTGAAGGTAACTGTGAGTTTTTAAGTGTGGCTTTCGAGACCTCTACTAGTGGCTAACATCTAGGCAGGGACACGCGGCAGTTTACTTCCTGAATAACAGAACCCCTTACCAGTTTCTCCTGCAGGAGCTTCAGACACTGATTTACATGGTCAAGGTGGACTTTTTCATATTTGATGAACTGGTTTTCTGTCCATTTTTGACGGTTCTCAATTTCTTCGTATACATTTGTTGATAGTGAATTAACTCTAAGGGGAGAAAAGTAGTTCTATTTTAACAAGTAAATGGAAACCTAAAACCAACCTTGAGTATTAAAGTCTGCAGGTTTTTCAGATGATGAGGCTTCGTGTGCTCAGCAAGCATGGCCTGATGGGGTGGGGGTGAGGGGGCCCCACCTCGAACTCGAGTTCAGCCCAACTGCTGACGACCCCTGTCCACATGCCTTGCCATGCACACCCACACAGCAGCAGGAGCACACCCACACAGAAGGCCATATGTCATCCATGCAGGTGTCCTCTCAGGACCCAGGGTACAGTGCATGCGTATGTATGTGCAGAAGAATTACTTTGATAAGTCACTTGGCGTGGGGAGTGTTACTCTATGGTAAGGGCCAGCAAACTTTTTCTGTAAAGGGTTAGATAATAAATATTTGCAGACTTTTTGGGCCATGTAGTCTCTGATGCAACCACTCAGCTCTGCTGTTACACTGCCGTTGCAGCAGGAAAGCAGCCACAGGTGACGCACACGAGTCTGGCTTACAAAGAAACAATGAGCAAATGAGCATGGCTGTGGTCTAATCAAACTTTTACATTTCATAGACGATTCGCATGTCATAAAATAAATTTTTTTCTTTAAAAAATTATTAGGAGTGTAAAAATCATCCTTAGCTGTGGGCAGATTGGCTAAGGGTGGTGGTTCGCTGAATCTTTGCTCAACAAGTGCCACTCTAAGGCTGCGGGAGGAGCTGGGCAGAGAGACTTGCGTTGTCTAGGAGAGGAGAGAACAGAGTGTCCAAGGGAGATACTCTTTGGTTGTTGTCTCTGCTTCAGGCAAAATCTTCAGTAAAGTCTCCACTGTATCTCTGTGAGTGCATTCTTTGGGCGGGGAAGGTGGGGGCTGAAAGAGGTGCCGAGTTATTCACCTGGGGCAAAACCAGAAATAATAGGCAGAAGTGCAGGAAGGGATTGCTGGCATCAAGTTGATGCACCACAGAGTATTAAATAACAGAGAATGAAGGATTTTTAACAATAGATTAAAGATAAAAAGGGTTGTACTCATGTCATCAATTTGAAAAGAATGGCCGAACGTTTGAGTAGAAGGTGAATCCTCATCTGAAATGATGGAGAAATAGGCTGAGAAGAGAGGGGATGAGAGATGGGGACCAGCAAGTGGTTTCTGTATGTTTTCTGGGTGTGACTTGCTCATGGTAACATGTCAATTTCAAATTCCCTTTTAGAGTAGGCTAAATATTAGACTAGAGGGAACAATCCATGTTGTTTGTTATTGAAAATATTCAGATTACCTTGCAATGTGGGGGGGCTTGAAATAATAGTTACTTGAATGATATGAAAAGTTAGATGAAGCTAAATTAGTTTGTGATATTTATCACTGGAAATGGCCTAAGACGGGCTGAACATGTACATGTCTGTCTATATATGTCTGTCTCTATACATGTATGTGTCTTTATAGCTCTCCTGAAAAAGTGTTTGGACTAATAGTTGG